CTCAAAATATATAGGCTCTGTTGTAGACTATATTTGTTATATAAAAAGAACTGGTGGCGGGAAAAAAAGAATGTAAGCAAAAAAGGTCGTCAGTATCACTTCTGAGTCGAAGAAAAAAATGAAATAATAAAAAAGAAAACGAACAGTTACACTTTTGTATTATTGTTGTTGTTCCCAAAAATAGATTTTTTTTTCTTCCTCTTTCACTGATTTATTTATCTGTTCACTCTTATTTTACTTCTTTTCTTGCATCCCAATTTAGTTCGGAATACCACAAAAAAAAAGGTGCTTTAAACAAGCAAACAGTAGTGTATTATCGTAGTTTTAAAGCTATCCTTTACAAATGATGTTTACTGCCTTTTTCTGCGAATGGGCACAAGGAAGTGTTAGTATGTCGAAATCAGATATAGGCTTAAAATTTCAAGAAGGAACTGACATCTGTTATTAGCAATGATTTGTTGGCATAATTTTTTGCAATTAACCTTTAGATGAATGATTGAAGAGGAGGAAGGAGAAGAAGGGTAAGAAGAGAAAGGAAGATTCGATCAACCGATATTGCGGTGAATGACAACGATCTTCCATCCACAGTAAGCATGAAGTTTAGCAACAGCATTAACTGCAAAGCAAAAAGCTGTAATATCACCAACAAAAAAATGTATTGATTTGTTCAATAAATTAATTTTTCTCTACTGTTTTCTTCTGCCTTTTTTTTTGTCGGTCATTTATTCACTTTTTTCTTTTGTTTTCAAAATATTATTTAGTAAAAACAGAAACAACACTGACACATATAATCACTAGGAACAGTGATATTTTAAGTCAAATGTGAACAGGTGATTGGTAGAGCATAAATTGAGGAGAGAAAAATAAACGGCCTAGAAAGTTGTTTACGTAAAAGTAAATTGCAAAACGAACCTTTTAAGTAACATTTTGATAATTTCATTAATTAGAGACAAAAACTGTCTGACCGATAAAACAGAAAGGGTTTTTTTGCAATCATTTCTAATTTTATTATGGTAGGCAAAAAACTTGGTTTATTTTTTTTTCTGTTGTTTTCTTTGCTTTTGTTTTTTATTTTCATTTTTTTGTCTTCTCTCTTGACAGAATACCTTCTTTGGAAGACATTATTTGAGCAGAGTTGCCTAAAATCAAGGTCAATAGGGGCAAAAATCACAATATATCCAACAACAACATCAGAAACAACGATAACAAACAACCTAACGACATCAACCGACAACAACCAACACCCCTCCAATCTATCTATCCATCCATCTACTGGTTTTTTTGCTGTTCGTTCACCTCTCATCTGTTCTTCTTTTGTTTCTGTGTCGCCAGATTCCATAATTCATCCACTGATCGTTCTACTTTTTTGTTTTCTTCGTTGCCTTTGCATAGTCGGTTCGCTGGCGGTTTGATGTACTCGAATGCAATTAGCCACTTCCGCTGGATTACTGCTAAAAATCTGTCTGTTACCGATCAACTAATATCTGGAAAAATTCCACTCTGGTACCTCATTGGGCAACATTAATGGTATTAAGCTGTTTTTGGTTGCGAACAATGGTATTAAAAAAAAACCAGCGTTTCAGATGTTGTCGGAGATACGGCTAAAGAAAGTTCATTGTCGACTGACTTTTTGGTTGGTGAAATGTAAATGGATGATATAATTCAAAAACGTTGATGGTAATAACGGATAAAAACCGACCACCGTGTTGTATAGCTTTAAGTTTCTTTTTCTTAAAAGTGCTTTTAGTTGATACTACGTTTAGAAGTAATTAGTTTTGCATTGGTTTTTTTTTTTTTGTTTAAAAGCAAAATATAGGAGATACCTGTGTTTTAAGAAAATTTTTTGATATTTTTTCATCATACTTTAGTATGCTTTTTTGTTTTTCAAAACTTGTTTTTTTTTCTTCATTTTCCTTTCTTTTGTTCTTAGCGTACAACAATAGCAGTTGTCTAGTGAAGACCAATACTTTTAGTTTTATGTTGATTTTTTTTTTTCAATTCTCGGCATTTGTAAAACGAAACAAAAAAAGAAAAGAAAAAAAAAAGAAAAACTTGTCATTAAAAATATGGTCATCTAAAAAGAAGAAGAAAAAACAGTGTAAGCAATTTTTGAATGTTTAAAACAAAAGAAAAAGCAATTAGTTGATCTGTTTACCTGTATGGTTAACATTCATCGCAGGAGTACTTTCTGTGGTGAATTTGTTTATCGATGGTTAACGGCGATATTAATCGAAGTGATCGAATAGCGTCAATCAACAATTTTTGATTTTTTCTTTTGTTCAAAAAAAATTTAATTATTACTTTGCAAGAAAACAAAAAAAAAGAACTGATGACTCTCAGTTTTGATTATCACATCTGTTTTTTTTATACTTTATTCCCTTTTTTCCGTTTTTTTATTTTTCTCTTTTTTCTTTCAGCAGTTTATTCTATTTCCTTTGCGAAAACAATCTATCCACTGCAGAAAATGAAGTAAAGAATTTGTTGTTGTTGTTGGTTTTTCCTTTTCTATTTTCCGTACTGCCAATATCTCTTAAGTTTTTTTTTTCTTCTACTAAGACTGTCAAATGTTTGACAAAAAAAAAAAAAAATTTGCACTTCAGTTACGCTTTTATCCGATGGTAATTTTTCTCCTTTTTTGCTTTTTTCTTGGCTCCACTCCTATTCAGACACTAAATTTAGCAACAGTTAAACCAGTAGCGCTGCTATGCAAATTGTTGATTGAACTAATATTAGTATCAGTCAGAATTTGTTTGACTATTCTATGGGGTAAAACTTACCAGAATAATTGTAGAAAACAAAAAAAGTGGCAGTAGTAATTGAGGAAACGAGAAACACTTTTTGCAAAAACAAAATAACTTTTTTTTTTCTTTTCTTGCTTAATTATTTATTTTTATAATTTAAATTAATACAAAGCAACAGTTTTTCTAGTTTACTGTACGGTTCGTTTAGTTGTTTCATTGTAATGTTTCAAAAACAAAAGCTAATTAAACTTTAGCAGACGTTTTTGAGTTGATACTTTTTGCATACGGTACTTTCTTCTTCTTTTTTTTTCTTCTGCAATATTTTCATCAGTTTATTTATTTATTTGC